TCGGAAGCAATCTAACCTAATGCTAGTTCGTATGTCACCTAAATTTAGAAGATAATCGTATTTTGATATCACCCTCCCTCCACAAATCCGAGAAAAGTAATGATTTATAGGAGTGAAATTTATTATTGAAGGCGTATACTTTAGCAGGTTATGATCAAGCTACCTCTATGAGAGTCCTAGTTCTTCGCAAAACTCACCATTATCAAAAATAATACATTTTATGTTCAACGCTCCAGGTAAACTGCTAAATAGATGATGAATGATGTTTCAATTGTATCTTACTGACTGGCTCTAAAATTCAGGAGTTTTTTTTTTCAATGAGTAAAAATCACATATTTGTTGATTCTTAGTATGTATTTCGGGGGCTTATAAGGGCTAATGCGGCATCACCTACTTGGCATAGTTACTCCAACATCTCAAAGTGATTTATTAAAGATATCAGTGGAAAACTACTTCTACAAAAGATGTTCTTGGCAATTCTAATTATTATATGGGAAATATTCTTGCAACCTTTGAGCTCAACTTAGCATCCTAACATCTGACTAAGATATTACGTAAAAGTGCAACAGACTCATTAAGTTGTATTTTCTTAAACAGATTTTATTAGAACCATGGCTTCTTAGAGCGATACCGAATAACAGTGGAATACTTTCAAGATATTGAAACCGCGAATTTATTAATAGCAGTATGGCGGGAATAAAATTGCACTTTTCAACTTTGCACGCTGTGTACCGTATAGTTTTTTTTTGCATTACCGTCTTCTTTTTATAATCAAATGAACTCACGTACTAGTGCCGATGATCACTCAAATTATCACATTTTTCAGGAATCACCCAATCTTGTAGTGAGCTGAAGGGAATAGACCTTTCTATACCTGAGCTTATAAATGTGAGAATAAGAAATAAGTGTTCTATAGCCTGCATGACTTCAGTAAGGTAAAGTGTACGTGTTTGATATGCCTGACCGTAACCCCAATGTGTCAGTCTGCGGAGAATATTGGATATAGAAGAGAATGATGTTATTCTGTGGAAGACAATATTCGGAAGCGATACCCGAGTCTAGTAGTTGCATTTTTCTTCGTATGTAAACCTTTAAGAGCTATCGGTTTAAAAAGGAACTCTCCTCATTGAGTTAGCTGCCCTGCCAATACACACTGGTCATAACTTTTGCAAAAGAAACGTGATTTCACATAAAAATCCGTCGCAAGCGTCGCATTGTCATAACTTCTTTCAAAATAGAAACTTTCTAAAAGGAAAGCGGTGTTAGACTCAGCTCGTCCAGACGAATCTTAGGCTACGCCACACTACAGTAACACCTAAGGTGTACGGTAGATACGATAGGAAGACAACACAACGAATCCGTCTAAAACTTTGCGTAGGGATGGTTATATGACGCAGTTTCAGACGGAT